CCCCCCCCCCCCCCCCCCCCGCCTTGGCACACAGGGGGGGGCATGGGGGTTAGGCCCCCAATGAAAACAACCAGAGCTTTTTCCCCGGGAGATCCCCCGGGAGGAGAGGGGTTTTCACGTTCGGCGCAGCTCCTCCCCCTTTCATTCCCGGCGGCAGCGCCAGCGGCTTCCGGGTTCCCCCCTCCCCCCCCCCCCCCGCCCTCGCACACATGCGTGGGCATCGCGGCTACGACGCCAATCGAAACAAGCAGAGCTTGTTGCCCGGGAGATGCCGCAGGAGGAGAGGGGTATTCACGATCAGCGCAGCTACTGCCGTATGAAGTCTTTTGAAGTCTTTGTTTCATCCATAGACCCTGAGCGCGCGCGGCCGGGCGGGGGTAGAGGGGGGTGGAGAGCGAATGTTCTCTGGCATAGTTTGACGATTTTCGTCTGGTTGCTTGTAGAATAGGAAGTGGTGTAGAGAAACAACGTTGAGAGTATGTCCGCTTTCCGGGCTGTTGGCTTTGCATCCAAAAATACAATAACAGTAAATGTGCAAAGAGAGTTTGTACGCAGGCTACATGCGGAACTAGAGTGTCCAATTGTAACGGGGTGTCCAACGGGAAATCCGTCCCATGCATGTAATTGGTGATTCCTGAACGTCGTGGTTGTTTGATATCCTCGAGTGTGCCCTCGGAGGTATTGCCTCTGGCTTGGGCCGCTGCTGTCTCCGTCTGGCTTGATTTGTATTCAGGCATCCGCACCCACCCTTGTTTGACGTATTTTTTTCTTTCAAGTTTTACGTAAACTTCCACAACAGGCAAGAACGCTTGTCGTGGAATGCATGCAGTTTTTGCGGCGCTAGACTGCCGCGGGGAACGCTGATCTAACGCCCACGGTCTGGTCTTGATTGCGCAAAAGGAACCCCTTTGAATTGAGGCTAGCTAGTAGTTGTTCCGGTTGAAGGATAGCAAATTACATGTAGCAGCCGTCCGAGAAAATCCGACGTTCTCATCGAGTTCGAGGTCTTGTTCGAAAACGTATCCTTCACCACGCTCTTGTATGTCTCGTACAACCTACACCGACCACACCCTTTATGCTTTGCGGTCGTGTTTTCGTTTCTGGTACCTTGTGCCATGAGTGATGTGTTCACGAAGAGTCGCGAACGAACTGAAGAGTAAATATCATTTAGCCCCTCCAAACTACACTCTGGGCACGGCATGGAACGAATGATGGGAATGTATGACACGTTATCATCCATGTGTTAGTCGTTGCGTGGTTCCTCCAAATTCACCCATGTGCGGGGGTAGCTCGGGTATCGGACCGCCTTCTCCCTTACATGCACACAACATACTGCGAGTATCTGCTGTGCGTAAAAATTCCGGGCGTGATTTTCTGGTGGCCACCACACTGACTGCTTGCTGTCCATTCACAACCTTTTGGGTTTGTTGCATTACTTTCTTGCCAGTGTTCAAACCGCCTGCACGATACTACGCAAACAACGTCAACTTTTTCCTGACATGTGTTACTATGATTCTAGGTTCTCGACAGCAGCAAGGTTCGAGGGGGGTTGATGACATATATCTCGAATGGGTAGTCTTTCTGTGTGTGTTTTTATTATTCCTTAATTACAACGAGCACACTCATCAAGGGGGCACGCAGATGAGACAGACTTAACCCGAAAAATAAAATGCGGCATAACCTTTGTTTTGCTCGCTCACGATGTCACGATGGTGACTGCTCATCATCAGTTCACCACTTGGTCTGCTCACGCCGACAAAGAAAGGAAACATGAGCAGCAACAACAGGGCCCTCAAGATTGTGGTGTGTGGGCCAGTGAAAGGTGGCAAAACGTCTATTGCCAATTTCATAGCGGGGCAAACCGAGCAGATTGGAACCGGCAACAGGATATATGAGCCAACTGTCGGAGTGAGGTAAGATATACGAAGATGCACCCGATGCACGCCCACACTGCAGAAGCCCCTAGCGTGCACTCCGAACTGACCGAAGTGCGTGAGTGCTGAGAGAGAAGATCCTCGCTGGAGATATCGCGGTTCCCCGAACTTGATTTATCGGGGCGACACGCGCTCCGTCGCCCGAAAACAAACGTTGTGCGACAGCAGGGTGGGCTGTGCGCTTTGCACGCCAGGTGCCGAGAATTCCGGACGCGGTGTAGTCGAACGACCAACGAAGATCACTCAAGCGGAGCTGCTTCCGAAATTCGATGCATATTTGTTGTCGATCTTTTAGGTACAAGAAGAGTGGTCAATCTTTACAGGGCGACGGAGAAACATTAAGTGCACGATTCCCATTTGCAGGCCCCCGGCAACCTGCATACATTGTACTTCTGTTCGGTTCGCCGCCGAGCTTCTCAGGTAATCTAGTTTCCTCCATTGACGTTATCATCTGTTGGCAGAATTCTGGAGTGCGAGAAGCAACCAGGAATCACAGGAAATAAGGTTCCTGTCGAGATATGGGACGTATCTGGAGATCAAGCGTGAGTCCCGGCGATGTGCCGAGCTAAGCGAGTTGCGGGTGCTTGATGCTGCCCCATGTATAGGCAACAAGTTGGCCAATGTTCAAGATTACTAGAAACCGGACCACATCTGAATACGCTGCACCTAGCAACTCACGTGCGCGTGTGTGCGAATGGAGGAAAGCATACTGTACACATTCCGCGCCACCTCCCCTCCCTGTGCTTGTGCGGGGGTGAGGTGTGGAATATTCCTACATCACGCATGATGTATGTACAGCAGTACGATTGGTAAATACACGCAGCAGTTTATTCTCTCGGGCACCAAAGTAAGCACCCTTGTTGCTGCTATGGACAAGGCTGTTGCGGAAGTATCCATCTGCGCCTCGAGGGGTATGGACGTGCGCAAGCGTCGTTGCTTATTCGATGGCTGCTTCCAAGCAACGAAGCTCCTTCACCCCTCCGCCGCCGTCGCGCCTACTACCCGCGACCCTCCGGCAAATAACGCTTTGCTCGCGTGCGCCCGACGCAAGGTTTGAGTCGTGCTGGCCGGCAATCATGAAGGGCGTCGATGGCGTGATGCTGGTCTACAACCCGGAGATCCCAACTCACGATATCGAGGTCGGCATCTGGTGAGTTACCTACAGCAAGTGAATGGCAATGGAAGTCATGCGTAGTCTGTGGTCTTCCGAACGTTGGGGTAAATGGACTGGGAAGAGTTGTTGGCGCACTACGTTTGTGTGCGAGGTCCCCCCCCTGTCGTCACATCCGGCTCGGATCTCCTTTTGCGTGTTTTTCTCTTGTTTTGAAGGTTCGATTCGGTTTTGGCGGCTAAATACAGGCAGATGAGACATCTGGGCAGAAGGACAGGCCTGTGCCTGCAACAACTACTGCAGCAGTACATGTATTCCCCCCCGCCCATAAGAAACGAAGAAAGCGAGGCTGAGAATGCATAATAAATGGAAGAATGTGTCGAGTGTTAGCGCAGAGTTCCACGCTTAATCCCAACTACAATGCTCGACAATGGCCCCACACACACGAAAGTCAGGCTGGGCCTTGTAGTATACCTTTCGTTGAACTCTCTGTCCCAAAAGTTGTCCCTCCTCCATCCTCCCCACAATCCCGCGAAAGGCTGCCAACGTAGTCAGAGCTGGCGACAAGAAGCATCACCCCCATGTCGTTCATGTAGGAAAAGAAGAAGGAGCGGGCAGCTGGATGCAGATGGTGTGCACCGGGGAGAGGGTTGCGTTTGAGTGGGACAAATCCGGAAACAAGCTCAATCACGAAACAACCATTATGACGAAGGTCGAATGCTACCATTATGACGAAGGTCGAATGCTACCGAACACGGAGAGTGTGCAGCAGCACGTTCAAGTTGTCGGGTTGAAGGGGATACTCCTCTGGACCAGAACTACCTGTGTTCACTTGTAGTCGAAGGGATTGGCCCCGTTTGCCTGTCAAAAGTGAATCATTGTCTATGGCGCCCTTCGCCACCTCCTCCAGCTCCTGGTGCCTATCTAATATGTATCTGTTGCCTCTCCATTAAAATAACTCATGATCACATGGTGAAAACACACGCATGATTACCGTCCATGACCATGTATAGTATGTATGTATGCATGTCATGTATGTATGTTTCTCTGCCTTGATTGTTTGGCCCCCCCAAAAGGTTCGACCAGTTCGTGAAGCGGCCCAAGCTCGACAACAGGCAGTGCCAGGTCATCGCGCATAGAGCTAGCCCGACCCCGGCCCCACGATCCCGACTGCGTGAGTGCATTTTCCCTCCTCTGTTGCAGACACACACACATATATATATATATGCTAGCACACGCCCGGTCGCTGATTGAGCCAGCTGTGCTTCAACTGTAGTAGCTAGCTGCAGCTGGGTTGTCGGTGTAAGTTGCGCGAAGTTTCAATGCCGAAACCACTGTTGTTTCTTGTCTGCGTGTGTGTGCCCTACACTACTACTACCGTGGAGGGAAAGTCGGCGGCAGGCAGCAAGCAGGCGCCGTTTTTCTGTGGCAAGTGTGCTTTCTTCGCTGAACGGTACATACATACTACGTACATGCATACACACCAGCGAGCAGGCGCTCTTGTTGCCCAGGTCGGCACACGAACCAACGAACGCAAACAGTAAACATGCAGCATGTATGTGTCTGCCGGTTAGCACACTTAAAGTAAGTGTGTTGGGTTTTCGTCGCATCGCTAGTGAGAGTACTTAAACCTACCATAACGCCGTGGTGAAGCCAGCCATCAAGTCAGTCAAACGCCGTCAGCTTATTTTCTGCTGTCGTCATGTTTGAAGGATTAAACCAGAAATATACATACTATTATACGTAGTCGATGGATGGGTTCATAGATAGATAGGTAAGACTAAATACACACGTCGACCTCTGATCTGTGGATTCCTACACAAAAAAAACTGCCGGCACACATACATATTTACATACATACATACATACTGTTCATGTACGTACGTACGTACTGTACCTGGTACACGGATCGGATGTCAGTGTTTCCTCATACGTTGCATTCCGAAAGAAATTTAACTGCATACAGTACACTCAGGCATTCCGTCCGTCACCCATTATCTTACCGTAAGGATGCGGGTCTGTCTCCGCAGAAGAAGGAAGGGTATTACCGTAGTTTGTCAAAGCTTCATTGCTCGACATCTACTTATTATATTGAAGGAAGACACCACTTCATTCACTGCCGAACGGGCGGTTTTGGAATGATCTTGTCGGCACATCTTTCCTTAGTTTGACAGACGTACCGTTTGGCTTTCGCACTCTCTCTCTCTCTGCTGGTTTGTTTGTTGTTGTTGTGAAACAGTAAAGCTTTGAAAAGTGCCACCACCTCCCGCCTTGTGCTGGGACCCACACCCTTACGGCGTCTCGCTCTCATCCCCGTTGTCCTTTTCCCGTGTTCGACCTCTTGCCTTCGTCTGCGTGATCTCTGGTTGCTCCCTGCCTTGTTCACTCATTCACTCGCTCGCTTAGCACCGAAGCTGGCCAGCCTGAGCGGCAACATTCTGCACACGAATTTCGCGTCGGTATCGCAAGTCATCACCGGCTTCGAAGACTTTTTGAGAGAGGTTCACCAAGCCTCCATGACCCAACTTCGAAAATGAAAAAAAACATGTTACTTGGCGAGAACGGGGCTTGCTTGAGTGAGTGTTGTTTGTTTTCTGTCAGCCCTTTTTCTCGACACTATTTTTCATTCACTGCATTCCGTTCTTTGTTCGTGTGAAGACTAAAACGGCTACTACAACATACATACGTGCGAAGAGCTTCACGCCAATGTCTTACCATTATTTTATGACAACTCTTTGCTTATGAGCCAGGGAAGAGTCCAGACGCAGAAGAAAACGTACGAACGTTACATACGTACGTACGAACACGGTGTTCCCCCTCCGTGTGTTGCTCGTCGTGTTAAATATTATTCTCTGAGATGATGGTATTGGGCAGCCAACCGAGAAGGGCCACGTTCACACAGACAGGGCGGGTAAGGCCCGTCCGTGACTCTTACTAATGTAACGTTTTGAGTAGGGGGGGGGGTCTTGCGATCATCGCGCGCCGTCGAAACTGCTCATTCATACAACTGTAGTGGTTGTACAGTAGCAACAACGCTCATTGTGCAAGAACAATCAGTGATGCGTTTCCCCGTTGGGGGAAGGGGGGTCGTTTCATTCTCTTGTTTGGCGAACAGTTACACTTCGTACAACCTCGTTGTGTTGCGGGCAGCATCTTTTTTGTCGAAGCCCGTTTGCTAGTCTTTCGTCCCACTACCAGCAGCAACTTAGCCTCCTTCGAGAAGGCATCTCCCAGTTTGTTGGATTAGGTTGCGAGCATCGTATTTCAACTTGGAGAAGGGGGCGAACAATACATCAACTAACTGGCTGGGCCGCAGTCGTTTGTGTGTGCCTGGTTTTCGTCTCATGTATTCTTGCGCCAGTCTACGCGCCTTCCTTCTTCGCCGAAGTAGACAAATTTTACGTGTGTTTGTTGCGTGCATCATCAGCCGCGGTCGCACATTTACAGATGCAGCCACCGCTTTATCTCCGGCGAGAATCGTGCACCATTGTTGCAGGTATGTCCGATCTCTGATGATGTTTCAACAACAGCACTATCGCCAACAAACACATATTGGATCGAAGATCGAATCGAAACGCAGGTGAACCCAAGACGTCTCAGTTTTCAACGGATCACCGCGCACTGATTTATTGCTTCGGCAACACTACATGCAGCTGTTGAAATCTACGGACTGCACCATGGTCCACCGTTAGTCTCGCACCAACATCAACTCTCACGACCCCACCCTTTCACTATTTCTACTGCTACACGTCTTTTTCTCATGATCATAAGTATAATACAGGCCTATGCATACCCATGCTATTTGCATTTTCTGGTGGTTGAGACGTTTTCTCATGATCCCGCCCGTAGTCGAACCAAGCTCTGGCTAAAACTCCACGGCGTTCGCAAGCCCTTCGACCCCCCCCCCGCATACTCCCCATCACACAACTAACGAACTTAATTCATCGGCGTACAAATACCTCTTCTCGCCGTACATGAAATCACCATGGGGGCACGACCGTTTCGACTGCTGTCCAGCTCAAGACTGAGAGAACTATGCAACAAAGCGACAGTTGTTACTACGCAGACATCTCGGCGATGGCAGAAATTGAGTATGATGTATTGTTATACCAATGGCGTCTTCTTGGGAAATAAAGCACTTACTCGCAGTGTAGATTCGTGAGACGCTAAAAACCGATAAATTGTCAACAGACCGTGTGAGTGTACGTGCGTGTGCTTTTCTCAAACCTTCAACAGACCGCCCCCGGCAATATTGGACAAGCTAAACAGCCAGGTGCTTCGACTCTTGTTCATTCGTCCTTCTTCGTTAAGTGAAACAATTACCGTACAGGAAAAAAGTCGAAGAGCAAGCGAACGGACTGTGTGCCGTCGCCTACAACACCCCGTCAAAGTCAAGAATAATCCCCCCACCAAAAAAAAAAAAAAAAAATACACCAGACGTACCGGACTCAATTGTGATCGAACACAACATCGACTATCGTACGAAAGCAGCGATGACCCCTTTGTCTAAGCTCGCTTCCCCAACGTTCTCCACCCCACTCCTCTGCTGCGATAGTCACGCTGCCTATTAATACATCCGACAAATCCGAACGTCGTTTTTCTCAGTCCTGTGAGCGTCGTCGCGCGGACACTAGATCGCGCGCCCGGTAGACGAACGAACAAACATGCAATTATATCATCGTAGAAACACAAGATTACACGGAAAAGGTCGAGCAGTCGCTCTCGCGCAAACAGCCCATATCATCACACAAGATCAAGCCTAACAAGCAAAGCGTACCCTACTATCTACGGCCAGCACCCGCTGAGCGGTGAGCGCAAGAAATCAACTACCCATCCAAGAGGGACGACGGTAACGCCTCGTCCCTCAGAGGCGGAGGGTACTACAACTCTTGACAAAACAGCCCCCAAACTCAGAACACGCCTCGTCGACCCATCTGAATGCGGGACAGGTCGCCAATTTCACGTCGTCGGCAAGAACCGACCACGGCTTTCCTCTTCGTAAACAGAACCTGCGTGTGTCCGGAAAAACCTTCAAGACAGCTTCCAAAGAAGCCTCCAAACACACGCCGGTCACATATGCTCGCACACCCTGCGTCTGAGCCGTAAAAAACGGAGACACACGAGCACAAAAACACTCCACACCCTTTTTCAGCCCCACCCCCCCCCACCCCAAATCCCTGACCCCCCTCCCTGCCCCACTTTCAGCCACAAGAAAACCAGGACTCCTACACATGACACGAAAAAAGCGAGACGTCCCGGCTGATCCAATAGCGCGCGCTCTCGCCTCCAGCTGGCCTTGCGTACCACTACGCAGGCGCAGCCGCTTGGGGAAAAAGGTAATACACCTAACCATCTCGCATTTTACAGAACGTCGGGTCTTCAGCACCAAAGCTTTCATCCGTCCTCCTCAACCGCTCTTCTTTTCTTGTAAAGGACGACGGCGGGGCAAAACCCCCAGCTCTCCCTTCCGATATCGTTTCCTTTCCGCCCCTTATGGCGCATTTGTCAAGGAGCTAGTTGTGCCTTTCCAAATCCCTTCGCAAGAACAAAAAACACACCAAAAAAATGTATGTGGACATAAACAGATCTAAAAATCTCGTCTCTCGACATACACCGAAAAAAAAAAAAAACACACTTACACAAATCAAGATCGATCACCTACAGAAGAGTCCAAAGCCAGCCAGCCCTTGGCACACACGCCACCAGTACACCGCCTAACAGAGACCAGGCACTTCTGATCGACATTTCCCTCAAACCATCGACAACCTAACATACACACCAAGCGCAACGCCTTTTCAAGGGGGGGATACGCAGATGGGTTGCATGAAGGGTGGGGGAGAACCGAGCCTCTAGAACGAAAAAAAATGGGTCAAGCTCGGGTATCGAGCCTAAGCCGAGCCAACAAGCGTAAAAACACGGACAGACACAAAATCAAGAGCGATCGGCCCAGGCAACATGTGAGCGGCACAGACACTGTCGCGCGCACGGTTACGGCGGTGGGTTTCGGTTCGGTTCGCTTATACCCCGACAAACCTTCAAAAGTCCACTAACCACTAGATGTCCCGGAAAGAGAAAAGACACAAATGGAGGGACGGCGAAGGGGGCGACACCGGCGTTTCATTTCCGAGCCCCAAAAGAAGACAACGTCGAGGAAAACAAAATCAAGAAATCACGACACCACCGAGAACCAGAAGAAGCACAAAATCCACACCACATCATATGGGCAAGATGATAAAAACACCACACGAACATGACCGGATCAAAAAATTAATCTCGGAGTTCTCCCCAAACCGAAGAACACCCGAGAAAAATCGGAAAACGCGAAAAAGGGAGAAGAGGGCATAAACCCACGACACATATACCTTGTGTCTCTCCCCCCCCCCCTCCATTTCTTCGCATCATTTGTTTTGCCCCCCGCCAAAAATTCACCATACTTTGCTTCGCGTGACTAGTATCGGGGCTCGTTGTCGAGAGGCCCTCTTGCAACTGCCGAGACACCTCGCAAGCAAGGAAATCACCCGCCGCCCCCGTCCAACTAACGAAGCAAAACAAAGGTAGTGCGACAGAAAAAAGAGGGCAGAACACACACGACGACGACACTAGTGGAGGTCGCGAAGAAGGACGACAGGCTGGTCTATCTATCAATCCATCAAGGTTGTTAATCCAATAAAATCAATGTGCTATATTGATCCATCATTCGATTAGTACAAGTACGACGGATCTCAGAACTCGAGCTCGAGCTCCATCTCCTCCCTGGAGGTGAGGGACTCGTCGCCCAGGGACGAGTCCCCCGACCCCTCCGAACACGCCTCCGTCTTGACCGACTCGTCATCGTCATCGTCCTTCAAGCACTCCACGTCTTCGCCCTGCAGCTGCTGCTGCCCGTCGCCGTTAGCGCTGCCCTCCTCCTGCTGCTGCTGCTCCTCCTCTGCCACCAGAACGTCCAAAAGAAGACCCTTCTCATCCCCGCCAGGCGCCGCCGCCGCCTCTGCTCTCTCCTGCTGCCCCGCCTCCAAGCACCCTTCCAACAAGTCCTCCTCTTCCTCGTCATCGTCGTCCAGGATGCAGTCGACGTCGGCATCATCGTCATCGTCAAACAGGGCCGTTCGGTACTCGCCGAGGAGAGTGTCGAGGCGGAACATGTCCTTGAGGATGGGGCGCACGTCTCCCGCCTGGTCCAGGTGCCGGATGAGCTGCATCACGCTGGCGAGAGCGGTGTCGTTCGGATCGTCGTAGAACGAGGCCACCAGGATGCCGTTCGTAGGCTGGCAGATGAAGGAGAGCGGGTTGTTGTCCACCAGCACGGTTCGGGACATGTCTGTCGACTCCACCCCGAGCACCGAGAGGTCCTTCAGGAAGGCACCCTTCACCTGGTCATTTCCGAAACGGCGCGGCGGGGGAACAACATTAAAAAAAAAAAAATACCGACATGACAATGTTGCCTGCGAGGTGAGTACTAACGGTGCTTCCGAGCGGCCTCGCGTTACTGCTGTATATTTACGTTGTGTTTGTGGGGGGCTCCGTGGGTAACGCTGGTATGCACAGTAGACCCAGTGGTGCGGGTTTGCCAAGCTACACAGGCCGTAGACGTGACCCGTTGTTGGATGGAAACCAAACCCACTATTTGTCGGTCCATCAGGTGTTATCATCACCTACTTTTTGTCTAGTCTCCGAAAAGCAACTAAACACGTGGGCCCTGACTTTGCGTGCTATGGTTAGTTGGCAGCTGCTGTTTAGTTGACGAGGAGAAAAACATAGCGCTCATGAATGGTGTGCCCATTTGGCGAGTTTCCCATGCATGAAAACTGAACAAATGACGCGAGGCTTTATGCCGATGCCTACACCAGTCTCTATACATAAGCTTGAGCAGTATGACTGCCGCCCGAAGTTCGCGCGTCGGGTAGATACAAGTGCCGGGTGTCCTCTACCTACGTGCGTCACAGGTACTTCGGAATTGGAAAAAAGGAGTCCCCTGCATTGCATGCGCGCGTAGGGTTGGTTGCTGCAACTACTGAATCGTGGCGAGGACCAGGAAGGTCGACTACACACAGATGAACCGTCAACACGAGGCTTCCCTTTCACAAACTGGAGTGTCGCGCGTTACAGCTACCACCGCGGAGGCAAACATAAACAAGGATACTTCAAAATAAACATCAATCATCACAAAAATGTCGGACTAAAACAGCGCGGGACTTTGCACGCAATGAACGCGCCATTTTGTCTGTGGCGCACCCGCTCACTGAGGCGTTCGGAAAAGGCCAACTTTAGAACATTTACCCAAAACTTCCAAGAGGCAAAATCGACTGAACAGCAGTAGCAGCAGAGGGGCACGACTTTGGATGCCCTGTGACCAAGGGTTATCACGACGTTGCGGGCGTAAGCCGTCACGGAGGGATCGCTAAACAAAGAGAGCATGAGGTAATGGTGGGGGGGAGAGAAAGGTTGGCAAACGTGTTCTAGGACCAGGAACGTGTTCGTGGAAATAGTTGCTAAAGGCCGGTGCGTTGGTGGCGGTATAAAGGCCGGGGGAGAGAGAGCTGGAAAGGGAGAGGGTCGAGAGAACACAAGTGGTACATTTGCACAGAGGAGAACGTGCAGTACAAATTCTTCTATGGGAGAGGAGGCCCCGAAAGGAAAAGTATAGCCGCCTACCCACCTGCCCACCCGCTGGCAAGGCTGGTTGGACGGAATCACGAGCTTGGGGTTGTGGTATTGTACTTTCCTACCAGCAGCAAGGACTGGACACACATATGACACAACACTGCTTGGTGGAGATCGACGCAGGCAAGAAGTGAAAAAATAAAAACTCAACGGACTCCCACGCAGCCCAGCTAAATAGACTCGAAACATTGTATTATATATATATAGTTAGCCAACCAACGGTTGCTGCTACGCAGCGCGTTACTACCCCCTTCACCTGTCTGCAGCTGCTGCGGTAGAGTCGGCGATGGAAGAGGGTGCCCTTCGGGTCGATGTAGTCCAACACCGGCCCGGCGTAGTCGGGCATGGCCGCCGTGAAGACAATTGTGTTATAGTCTCTCGCCAACGCTTCCAGGAACGGGTCCAAGCCAGGTCGCTTGTTCACCTATCGGGACCATCAAGCAGCAAACATGGAAGAGAAATTCGGTGCTTCTTCCCGACCCGCCAAGAGTAAAAATAAACAAAACAGACAAAAGAGACACCTAGCACTACCAGGGTACGGGCGTGTTGAGACGCCCGTGGCTGCAGCCGCTGCAGGGCTTGACCTAGGGCTGCATTTTGCTTGCTAAATGAATGTAGTTAGCAGTTTGGGTCGTGTGTAGCGTTGTTGTACAAACACAACAGGTTTTCGTCACAAATAGAAGAAACGAACGGGCGAGAGGAGGGGCAGAAAAAAATAGAACCTTTTTTTGAAAACTCCAGGAAAGAGTCGGATGTACACAAAGGGTACATGGTGTGCGGAAGAGGTGCAGAGCAGGCTATAGAAATGAACGAGAGCGCTGCCGCGCCAACGGAGGGGGCGGGCACCCTTCCCTCGCCGCGTGCAAGGGCAGGGCAACTGCTGGGGCGGGAAGGTGATGTCAGGGGCACGCGCCAAAAAAAAATTCGGACAACCCACAACATTCACTTCCACCGGTGATCACACATTATTCGGCAAAAGCCCACCTGCGCAGTGTCGCCATCGTCGAGGGCAACCCAAAAGCTGTTGACCTCGTTGACCGCGTCCGGTCGCTCCTCGAGCTGTCTGTACGCCTCCGAGGCCGCCCCCGGCCCGTGGAACTTGCTGTGCAGCAAGCACTCGTCCATATCTAACACCACCGTCATCTTGCCGGGCTTGTACGGCGCGAGCCTCGTGTGTCTTGCCACAACGATCGGCCCCACTTGCTCGCCCTGCTGGTCAGATGCCACGCCGCCCACAGCAGCCGCTTCCGTTGACGACGGCTCGAGCGATGAACTCGTGCCGGGCTCGCCGGTCCCGACCGCCACGTGCGCCTCGCCCTGAGGCGCGGCGTCGCTCCGTGCGTCGGCAACAACAGGAGCGCTCTGGTCTGCTCCTCCTGCTGCCGCCGCTGGTGGTGGTGGTGCTCCTGCGTGTCCGCAACGCTGCTGCTGCTGTGCTGGTGCTCCTGCTCCTGCTGCTGCTGCCCCATGCTCCCCGAAGCCTTCAAACACCTCTTCCCGCGCAACCTGCACGTCAACTGCCCCAGCCATTTTTCTGTTCCGCTCTGCTGCCTGACGACGCAAACGACAACTTCCCTGTTCGCGAGCAAGCAAAAGGGGCGTGCTGCTGCTGCTGTGCTGCTGCTGCTCCTTCCTCCCGTGGGCGTTGCCTTTTCTTGCCCTTTCGGTTCTCGGTGGACCTCGAAGGAGCGTTTGTCCGTCACGAAAAATGGGCGCGCTGTGACAACCCTTCCGTTGCAGAAAAACAACAGGGAGGGGAGGAGGAGCGCAGCTGGCTGGGAGTGCTGGCAGGGGGGGGAGGAGCAGAAGAACACTACGGACGGGGGGGGGACCTCTCTTCACGTGGCGGGGGGAGGGAGATGCGTGGTGGGCCGTCCAGCAGATGGCAAAAAAAAGCTGCGGTCTTAACCTCAGACAAGGAGAGAGGAAGGAGAGAGAGAGTGACAGGCGGTGCGTGTTGTGGGTTCGAGAACTCGACATACGAATATAAGCCGAAAATTCGAGTATCTTTCTCTTTACGGCAAATATTATTTTTTCGTGTTTCGGAACTGCTCCTGCTGTATTCATGCACGTGATACGATACTGAACGAGAAATGCACCGCCGCGGTTGTAGTCAGGATGTCAGGATGCGGCCGCAGCAGTGCACGTCCTTATACCACCAACCACGTGAGGGAGCTAGAACCAGTGCATGCACTTGAATTCTCCACAGCCGAGACAAGCCAATACCATATTTCTTGTGTGATGTATGATCTCGCGGGTCGGGGAGATCCGTTGCTGGTGCTTGCGCGCGCGTCTTGCTGCTGTTCAACAACATATTTTATGTCACACACATCACTTCTGGATCTCCTGTGCCGTTGGGATACACATCGAGATTCCAGTCACATGGTGCTCGTATCTACAGGTATGCGTACGCATGGCACGAAGTCATGAGCAGCAAAAGCTACAACGGACAGAGGTGTTGATGATCGCCCAATTTTTGGAGTCGAAGCTCTCTGGACGCTCATCACCTACTGATTACTCTGTCGACGTCATCAGATCTTCCGCAAGATATCTACCATCCTGAACTGGAATCTAATCTCCTTTGTCTCACTGACTCTGGCTGCTGTCCATTTGCCCGTGGTGATGGCGCATCGACCGCGTTATCCGGCTGCTCCTTCCGTTCTCTCTGGTTCGCTCTCTCTATCTCTGTATGTGTGTAGATGATCCGCTCTGGGGATGGAATTTGAACTTGAACACGAAAGAGCCCCCGACGAGAAAATATCCAGGAGCTTGAGGAACAAGCATGATGACTACCACTGATGCTGTTGCTACGCATCAGCACCAGCTACCTATCCACGCGGCAATCGAGGGGCCCGCAGCGTGCTTCCGGCTTCTAGAGATAGATACCCATCTTGGAATGAAGCATGATCAGTTCGTTGGACTGCTGATGAGCACCACCGACAACAGGCGAGTTTGGCACATGGACGGGACTCGCTGGACGGTTTACGTAATTTTACGTAATTTTAGTATCATCACCTTGGGCGGCCAGTTGGATCCGATCACCGGCACCAGCAGCCACCGTCGGTACTTGACACCTCGTGACAAAACGCAATTTCTGCATGCCGAATCCTATCTCACCTTTGAATTGAGCGGCAGGTATAGCGTGTAGGAGGAATACAGCGATACAAGGGTAGTTATACACTGCTGTACCATATTGGCAAAGCGTGCGACGGATGGATACGTTCGAATCAACATGCCCATGCATGCATACACCCGACGGGATGCCGACGGTACTGCTATAATTCGTTGCTCTCGTTGCGGGCTTGACAAGGTTAGCTCTCGAGGACATCCACGAAGCATGGGGGAATAACGCTGACATCAGCGAACGAGTCGAGCCCGTGGAAGACGGCCGGCAAGATCACCGCCGCACTGAAGCCGTCGGCCTGCCGCTACCGTCTTTCTTACGAGCTTTCACCGCCCTTGCGAGGACGAAGTATAGCGACAGGCCTCACGACGGAGAGGGCCGGGACTCGGTCAACCGTCTCCTCCTTAGAGACGTTCTCGAAAATATCACCAACTCTACAGCAGTGAGCTCACGAAGATCGGAATGTTGCGGTTGAACTTTGCGGTTTTTCGTCCCTTTCTGCTTGACGCCAGTCAACCTCGCGTACCGTTGGGCGTACAGGAAGAACCCACGCACAACACTAAAGAGTAAGACGATTTGGCAACCAGGCGCGATAGCATAGAGTAACGCGGACATGTGTCGGGCCATCCCGTTTTCTTAGCTTTTACTCCACCTGTCTGTCCTGCCGTGCACCCGTGCCAACCCACAACAAACAACCCCCCATCCATTTGTTTAGCCTACGAGCTGCTACTCACACATACACCGTTTTCTTGTTTTGTGTATCTCGTTGTACCTGCTGTACGGCATGTGCACGAACAACAAGCCATCGGTCTCCGCTCGATATGGAGTATTCTCCCATCTGGTACGCGAAGATGTGTGCTCTTTTCTCCTGTCCAAGAGATCATTCACAAACTACCTTTTCGTCATGTATGGTGAGCGCATGTAGAGGGGGGGGTGGCAAGTCAACCTTTGAGTGCTTGCATACTCTCGTGCTCGCGTACGAGATACATACTATATTAGTGCGCAACCACATCGGTCGAAACTTGACCCTCCTCTTTGCCAAAGCACCTTGGGTCTGTCGTCAGATCGAAGCGTTGCGAAATAGTAGACTATGGTCAACCGATGTTGTCTCGGATTCAGTTGTCCCTCCAAGCCTCGATCAAGGCGACCAAGACCAGGAGCAAGCGGTTGCGCAAACGCCGGGAACAGCAACGCCTTGATATCCGAGCGCACCAATGAGAGGGAGCACCGTGGAACATCCGCATCCTAACAATATGTCTGTCCGCCAGAACATGTCTCCCAGAACATTAACATTTGGGCCTCCTCGTCCGGCGATCTTCGTGCTCCCTTGGCCCCCCACGCACCACTTGTGTACCAAATTTTTGGTGTCAAAAACATGTGTAGTGTGTCAATCACGTGACGATCAAAACGAGGAACCTTCACAACGCGAACATCGCTTCCTCTCCTGACTTGGGGAGCAGGTGAATCGTCGGCTTCTCCTCCCCGACAAGGCGGTAACACCGATTCCACCCAAGATTGGACGCGGCCACCGCCCCCCAGACAAGGAAGCCAAGAGCAGACCGCCATCTCCAAAGCGCGTCGGATACACTGGGCCGGCTTCCTAGCGGCATCTTCGGACCTGCAGCTTGTCCCCCGGCTCATCGGGCTTGGTGCTCTGAAAGCTGCGGTGGAGCAGGTGTCAGTAGCACCACATCGTATGGAGAGAGGCAACGGGCAGGTGATTCCACTTATGTTGGGTTTACCTCGAAGGCCTGGTGGGCTAGCTAATTCTCGTGCCCTCCTCTGCATACGACTTGGATGCCCGACGAAAACGATGAATAGTTTTGGTGGCGAAGCAGTAGATGACTTGAGCTCTCCGTAGAGTTGGTGGGAGCTAAATGTTGTCGTGAAACTGTGCAAGAGCACAACGAGGTGTGTGAGTTCACACGTGGGTGCGCGAAAGACGAGCGCATCTAGAGCGACCGGAGATAACTCTCGATAAAAGACAGAAGCGGAATTAAACGCACCCCCACAAGAACTCTAGTATAGTTACGGAAACATGCAACCTTTGATCGCCGCATGTATGGGATTGTTCCTTGACGACGACAACAACCACGTCTCCGTGGTTTTGCAGCACAAACGTGCAGCTACAGTATAGCAGCCGGGGACAGCAATGCTTCGGATGTCGCTTGACTGTGCTGACGACGCCTCTACGGACACATGATCCCGAATCTGTCTGGCAGGGTGGGCCCTCGTCGGACAGAAACGCCGCGGCGACGAAGCGCTCAGCGGCCGGGATGTCGTACCCACAGTTTGTGGAGGTGCTGTCCCTCATGGCCATCCCCGCAGCGGGTCGGCTCCGCCGCCTCTACCCGAACGTGGCGGGACCAGAGCCACCTGCCGCCGTAGTAGGCCCTCGCCACCGCAACACTCCGACCAACTCTACTTCGGACGGGACAACGAGTCGGGGCGGCGGCGGCGGCCCTCTCGCTTTGGAGATAACGTCGGAAGAGGCGGGGCGGAGGGACGAGGCAGGTGAAGGCAGCGGCAACGAGAGGAGCCTGTTCCAGAGGAAGGCGAGGCACGTCCGCGCAGCCATGAGGCTCAGGATGAAGAAAGGAAGGTGCCCCAGAGTACACCGACAAATAGGCTTGCGATACATGTAGACGTCCCAAGGTTTGTATGCAAAAGGGAAAGGGAGGTGTTGATATCGCGCTCTTGCTCATTGGTCATGGGCCCTCCTCTTGTCCTTGCGATAGTTTCCAGTGCGTGTACAGCTTGGGACCAGGGGCATCCCGCGTCGGTCGGCGATATGGCGCTTACCCTTCAGCTCCCTCGCTCGAACACACATTCTCATTTCTCAAAGGGCATTCTTTGGCCACGCTGACGCCAAACGCACCGGGTACAAAAAAAAAGGCCGACGTTGCGCACGGAAATTGGTTGGTTGCACATAAACATGCCGACCTACCCACCAACTTAACGAATTTCCGGTGAAAATTATGGTTCGGCGTCGCGTCCCCCTTTCGGTGTTCGGCCAGATCCGTGGTCGTCGCCCCCGGAACTCCAGACGCGCCCCCTGTCGACGAACAGCCTGAACAAGTCCCACCGTCCTACGACGTGGGGGCGTTCAAGGCCCTCTTCCACCATGCCGAAACGGCACACGAAGAGAAACGCTCCGGCGCAACTAGGCCTCAAGGTTTCCACTGCCGCAATGTATCGAGCTCTTCCCTAAGCCCGCCGGCCTGCAGAGACACGGTGACCACGAAAGGGGAGGGTGCTTCGGAGCGAAGCTCACCACGGTCGAACGGCAGTTGCATCGATGAGGGGAGCGAGCCGTCCGAAGGCGGCGGTAACGATGACGGAGGTAGGGGAGAAGGTCGAGCGATATCAGCGGTCGATTACGAAGGCACGGCTGCGGAGGTCTCGGACTCGAAGACTTTCCCGCAAAAAGTGTTTTCGCCCCAAGAGTCAGCTCGAGTCCTGGAAGAAATCCGCGATCGTGTGTCGGACCTCGAGGGGAAGGTCTTGCCGCATGAAACGAGCGAGGTGGAGACGGGGGCAGATGGCACAGGGTCTGAGACTTTCCTGCCGCGGCGGGATGATGCCCGGGCGGTGGTAGTTGAGGAGGAGCCAGGCCCTGAACCTCTCGCTCCGGGAGCCGGGGGGGGTTTTGCAAGGCTGGTGGTGATCAAAGAGCTGCAGCCGGTACCAGAACACGCGCCGGAAGATGCAAGCCACCTGCTGGACCTGGCCCTGGACCATCACCAGGTGGATCTTGTCTTGGAAGTTGTTGTTTTTGTGGGTTATCACGCTCCGGGTTTTAGGTAAGTGTCTGTCGTAGTGTTGTTATTCCGTCGGGCCTCCCAGTGTTGATGTGGGAGTCCTCACCTCTCAACCCAAAATATCGGACTCAGAAAGACGCAGACACTGGTTCCCGTGTGATCTGGGCCCAAGTATGACGTGACCTCGGGGACGGCAAATATTTTTCACGGCGCCGAGATGAAAGTGTTGGGTGGCTTGCGTGTCGTGGTGCACGGATGCGCTGTCCGTACGCTACGCTCAGGCTGGGCGCTACGCTCTCGCCCTGGAGACGCTCGAAAAGGGGGTGCTCATGTGGGAAGAGCTTCAAGGAGGAGGTGAAGGCGACCACGAGCCGGCTAACCCCGAGGGCGGATTGGATGCTTCGGACGAGGCAAGTTTCCCACCAAGCAGCGCTTGAGCAACCAGGGTCGCCAAGAAGACATGGCCAGCAAATCCAACACTCGTTTTTTCCCGAACTCTGTGCCTCGGACTCAATGTGGACATGTCTTCACAGTTTTAAGCAGCACAATGTGGTGAGCAGATACGATCTTTTCAGGATGTTCTCGCGGGCGTCTTGCCTCGCACGCTTTCACCAGGGGCTACCCTATCTCCGGCCACCAACCGTTGATTTCCCCTCGCCGTGCGCAAGGCTCTAGTCCTTTTAATCGAGGCAAGCATTTACCAGTCGGCGGGAAGAGACGACGATGCACTCTCCACGCTGGTGAAGGCCGAGGAAGAGGTCACCTACATCGAAGATGGCGATTCATTTCTGCGCGAGACGCTCCTTGCGTCTGTTCTGAGTGAGATGGGGTGAGCTATCGACCGTGAGAAACGTAGCACATAGACCAGTGTTTCCAGATCAGCGCGAAAAACTCATGCATCCTAATGTTCGTGAGCTGTGGGTAAGATCACAGAAATTTCTGCTGAGCTGCAAATTTTCGTGTAGTTGTGTCAAGTCGTATCACCCTACCACCCGCCCTGCTGCGACGGCGTGTCACAGCAGTCCCGTTTGTATCGTTGCACCAAACTACCCTGTCCCCGCCCCCAACTCCCCCCCCAACCTGCAGTGTCACCCTCTACTACTCCAGTCAAACAACTCTCAGCCTCCGCTGCTTCAGACTGGCGCTGGTTGTTCGACACAGCATTCTCTCGTGCAGTAGTAGCGAGCATCACATGGAGACAGGAGAACCCGCCAGCGAAGTGGAAGCTGGGTGGAAGAACGGAGCACACAGCTACGGGACGCCAGCCTCCAGCGTCGCCGCCGCCGAGGCCGGGGAGGCTGCGGCGGCTATCGCGCTGAACAACGTGGCCGTGGGCTTGGCCGCAACGGGAGAGTCCTTCCCTGCAGTGCAGGCACTAGAGATTTCGTCGATGATCACAACGTGAGTGGGTGCCATGACTCAGTGGGTGGGGGCTAAGGCAAGCGGATGCTCCAGGGATGATAATAGCCTCACGTCGAACACGAAACAACAACAAGATTGAGGCTCTAAAGAGGGCTATCGCCAGCCTCCCCAGCACCTGCGTTCATCCTCTGTGCTACTACTCTGTACTCTTTACAGATAATAGAAGTATCGTTTTTCCTTTGATTTCTAAAAGGTTTCAAACGATTGTTACAACGCTGCCACGTTGCGCATCCCTAAACCAGCTCTGCGTTGGGAGTTGAGCACCCGAGATCGACTATAGTATCGAGGAACCTGGCCCTCGTGAAGGCCGTCAAATGCCGCGGCAGGCGTAGCTCTCGAGACAGCGGGCGACGAGCTCTCCAGCGATGGGAGAAGGACATGTGGCGCTCACTGGGAAGCAGAAAATGGACCTCGCACCACGCAGACGCCGTTGACGATCTTGTCCTGTACAACGGGGTAGCACAACGAACCTCGCGCGTGATCCCCGGGGGGTTCGTCTTCGCTGGAAAGCTGCCGCCTGCCATCGATCCGAGTAAGGCCAGCGGTAGCAAGGGAAGGCGCAAAAAGAAGGGGGCTAAGAAAAGGGGAAAATCGGCTCGTCGGCGGTGAACGCTAGGCTACATGTGCAAGCACTATGGGTTTGGAGCATCACAAGTTACACCTTTGACGGATTGGGAGAGACTACAATGTACTTTTGTCCTCGAGGTTTGATCTCGTGCTTGGTATGCATTCAAAACCTTCCCAGAGTCTACACGTACGTTAGTAGACAGCAGTATGTAGCAGCAGGACACAGGAAACAAGACACATATAGATGGCCCAAAATCGATGGCGTGTGGTGTATCTCTGCGGCGAGGGGCACAAACAACCGGTATCGTTGGCCAGTCTGTGCGCCAGGCTACGTAAGTACATCCCGGCGGCAAAGGGACTAACAAAGTGGTGCGTGATACCATGGCCCAAGCGCACGTGTGAAAGTCGGCTGTGTAACCCTGGCTTGAACAAAAACAATACGACCATAAAAGAATCACCAAGGAGGCCTTTGCTCCGACACTCCACCAGCTCTAGCAGCCGGTACGAGCATCTTTACCTCTCATGGAACTCGGTCATTTCGTGCATTCATTCCCTTTGAGATCAGTCTGTTTTGTCCATTTTCTCCCGCCGTGAACTCCCGGCTGGAGTCACCAAGGTGAGCGCTACGATCATGAATAACTAAAACCACGATCGTCGACAACCAGAAGCACGATCTGCCCATACCATAGTCGCACGAATTGTATCTCACATCTCCCTTTCGAGCTCATGGAACAACAAGAGTGCGTGGGTAGGTGCGGGTTGTGGAGGTTCACGCTCGTGTTCCGGTGGCTCTCTCTCTGCGGCCATGTGATGCTAAGGTGGAGATACACGTTTTTCGTGTTGTCTACTTTGTCGAGGGACGGGTGCACACGGTAGGTGTAACGGCGTCCTGCCAAAACTTCGAAGGAGAGCCTGATACCCACGGCTGTGCTTCGGGGGGACTATGTAAAAACAACCCTATGGTTTCATGTACTACGATCTGTAGGTAAAAAAACTGTGTACTATTCTGTCCTGGACTCTTCAACACAGATAAATCGATAGTCTAGTTTATATCATCATTGTTTTGGTACCTTACAGAGAGAGGGGGGAGGGGGGTGCCTTGTGGGGTCGGTCTCTCTGCAGAAATACTTGCCAAGAAAATTAGCATGAGAGCGCCTGCCTACACCGTACAACGGATGTACACTGACTTATTCCGTCAGTGCCACGTGATCCACCGGTACCACTGCAGGCTCATCATTCATATTATCCGGATTTCTGGCTCACTTCAACGCCCGCACAGGTCCGTGGATGGTTGTCGTTTTCCGCATTTTTTCCTTTTGCTAGCATCCGTATTCTGGCCGAGCTGGTGCGGACGCCTCCCGTGTTCCAGTTAACTGTGTCCAAAACCTAACCTAACTCTGCTTCGAGTTTCACAGCGTTTCCGGTATCTTTCTTTGGCTGCCAGGTTACCGAATAGTCCAAGTATGCACGGTATGTCGACACGCACACGAGTCGCGCGGGACGGGGGTTACTTATGGATGTGATGGTTGAAGCCATCGCTCTCTCTTTGCGATTTTTTCCCACGCAACCCGTTCGCCACCAAACCACCGTCTGCGTGGAAACAGAAAGTCGTGAGTGCGATCGACTCGTAGTTATTTAGTTATTTGTGCTTCCCCCTTGCAACAATCTTACTTGACCGCCGTGTCTGTACGCTGCCGGCCGACGACGTCGCGTAGGATGATTGCATATGAATATTGAACAACATCAGGATTCGAAGAAGTCGTACGTCGCTACGATCGCGCCCGAGAACAAGGTGCGTAGATCTCCTTATCCTAATCCACATGCTAGAAGCGAATCTTGCACAATATTGCACAAAGAACTCGACACCATCAACACGAGTACTGCTGTACACGAGTAGAACTATAGCGTATCCAAGCGTTTCGTCGACGAAACGGCACACACAAAAAATCACCCCCCCAAATTTCCTTCGTTCCATCTCTCGGCTGTTGTGCCCCCCCCCGTTTGCCGTTCCAAGACCAGACACCAGACACAGCCTGCTCACTTGCTGTTGTTGTGTGTCGTGGTTTATACCAGAGAGATAAAGGACGCAGGGGCTGTTCCCACCACACACGCGTACACAAACTCGAACGAGGGGATCATCTTGCCCAGGGAAGGGGAGTCTTGTCTAGCCCTGCTGCTGCTGCTGCTGCTGCTGAAGTGCTGTGCGACCCGGTGTGGAGTCGTCTGGCGGTCAGCAATCAATTCCATTCAGCCTCGAGGCGAAAGGGACACGGATATCTAACAGGTTGACGTCGTGCTGCAGCATAGGGGTGGCTTGCTCTGCTTCAGCCTCTTCGATCTAGTTGGGGCCAGAACCTCAAGCGGGGAGAGCAACTCAGCCGGATGTCGACTGTCCAAGACACGAAAGCGGGTGAGCAAAGATCGCCGGTCAAGCATGATCATTACTGCAAGTACCGAACGCCAGCTTACCTGCTGTTACGAAAAGAGACACTTGCACAGAACTACCATCAGCATCAGCTGCTCTCTTTCCGTTACACCCTGTAGTGACGAGACGTTGTAGAGCAAGGCAAGCTCTTGAGCTGTTGCCAAGACGCAACATTGGTTGAATCGGCCTAGTCTATGGGTACAGTGATGAAAAGTCGGAGATTCAAGTTCCAGCGCCCCCAAGATTCAAAGTTCCTGTTCCAACCAATCGGGGGCACCTGCAACAAGCACACGCCCGTTCACTGCACATGGAGAGCGGTCCCGAGTTTCTAACCACCTCCTCTCTGCTGCTGCATTAACAACAGCAACTGCAGCAACCCCCGTCCAACCCCGATGATCCATCCATGAGATTCCGCTTGCAAAACACACGAACGGTGTGTATGCAGCTGCGTTGCTTGGGTAGACTACATCAGAATTTGACACATGAGATGCCCTTACATACATGTAGGGGGCCCGATATAAGGCGGTGTGAACAAGGCGGTTGTCCGATATAAGGCGGCTGAAATTGGCGCACACAACTCAGACCCGATATAAGGCGGCACCGCCTTGTAAAGGCAATCTCCCTGTATAAGGCGGTAACTACCCAAGTAAAATCCGATATAAGGCGGTGATAATCTTCGCATCACTACGCCCCTCTCTGAAACACCTGTACCTTTGTGGCCCCAAGACACCTGAAGGAGTGGTCAACACAACGCCCTGGCTTAACGGAATACAACCCTACTGTAGGCGCGCACACACTTGTTGTGTTCGGCCGCACGAAACCGTATTTTTTTACGCGGAGGAATTCGATGCGAACGAGCACGGACACATCACTCTTACTCTTTGCACACACGCCGTCAGCCCGTAGCATGCACTGAGCCGTAGTCCCATTTGATCCAGGCTCTCTGGAAAGGGCCGCGGGGGAGTCCGGCAATCGCGAAGCCGTTTTCCACCTTCAGAAGGCCAAAATGGCGATGATCAAAGCTCACGCGTGAAAACCCGTGCGGCAGTCGGACATGAGAGAGTTCTTGTAGGCGGATAGAAGGATTCTCTCAGCTGTTGTTGTCTTTCATAGAGCAGGGTGTGCTGCAAAGAGTGGTCGCATTTTCAGAGGTACAAGCGCCGGGGCAAGTAGTGCTTAACCCGGCCAAGCGTCATGGACGCAGCGAATACAAATGTTCTTCGGTGCCACGATTGCTTTCCAACTATTGCGTGCGTCCATGTTGGGTTAAGTTTTGTTCTTCACGAAGGAAAAATATTCGGTGTCCCTCGCATCAGAGAAGTGTTGGTTTGGACACGTTGTTCGTCTACTCTATCAGAGCCTTGTGCGGCGGTATTGTTGGATGCAGATGTACATTCTGTTGTACACTCCCAGCGGGGTCGTACGGCATCAGATGTAGACGTACGTACCGCTGCAAACGACACTCAAACAATTGCAAGCAATCTTGCTCGTTCTACACGCGTGAATGCATGACGCGTGACCATTTCTTCCACTCAGCGACGCGCCGTGAGGTGATGCCCAATACGCTGAAACCTCCTTTCTTCTTCATTTGTCTTAAATAAGGCGGTCACCGCCCTATTGGGCCAATCTCAGACCGTGTATAAGGCGGTTACCGCCTTATACGCGTATAAGGCGGCTGCCCGATATAAGGCGGTTTCCTTCACCACGCACTACACCGCCTTCCATCGGGCCCCCTACTGTGGTAGTATGAACTTCAGCGTATGTAGTGGGAAAGTGGGTCCTTCAACAACGCCGGTTGAATAACGCCGGTGGCCCTGTTTAGCGCCGGTGAAGTTGCTGGGCACAGACTGAATCACCAAGTCGTTCTGTGCTTCGAATAGCGCCGGTCCCTCTGAATAGCGCTGGTCGGTTCGCCGGGCACACACCGGTGGTGTTGGTGAGGGCGCACTATGGCAGGACTGCTCAACACAGGACCCAGACGAGCTCATCCTTGAAGAAAGATCATGTACAGCAGTGTACAGCAATTACAGCAAATTATTGCAGAGACGCGCTTTCCAACGTTGGGGGGCAGGGAGTGGGGGGGGGGGGGGGGGGGCCCATTGGCCCTTGGTTTTTCATAAAAAAAAAAAAAAAAAAAAAGTTTCTTTTCTCTGGTCCCACCCCCACGGGACCCCCTAAAAATAGGGACATTTCTCGGGGGGCCGGGGGGGCGGAAAAAGGGGGGGGAAAAAAAGGGGGACCCCGGAAAGGGCGCCGGAACGGGGCCCTTTTATGGGGGGGGGTATGCATATTTGTTTCAAAAACCGGAAAAAGGGGGG